GAGAGAGAGAGAGAGAGAGAGAGAGAGAGAGAGAGAGAGAGAGAGAGAGAGAGAGAGAGAGAGAGAGAGAGAGAGAGAGAGAGATATGCCTGGTGGCTATAGGCGCCCAACTGCGTATACATAAGACACTGAAGTTCTGAACGATTTCGGAATCGTCCTCATCTTGTGCTGGTTAAACTTGTTTGTTTTTTTTTGTCGTTTTTTTTTTCTTTTTTTTTTGTCGTGTTTGGAGGTTTGTAGGATGAAGTGTAGACCGGTGGTGGTGTGAGGAGCTGTGCAATTTTGGTGGGTTCATTCCATTAGGATGAGTACTGGCTTATGACCATCAGTTGTTCTTCCCTCTTTTGAGTCGGTCATTACGGGGGTCTATGAAGGCGCATTCTTTCATTGATTTTTCTTTTTCTTTTTCCTGCACGCAATCCGCGGACTGCGCATGGTATTGCCATGGTTCTTTGTTTGTATAAATAACAAGTTAACAACTGATGTTTCTACCAGGCTGAGGCCTTTTTTCTATGAGCGCTCTTGTGGTGTTATGGTCCTTATGGCGCAAATGACATTTAGCGTATTTAATAGCGATCTTGAAGTCGCAGTTGTGTCAATTTCTCCCCATGAAATGAGCAGTGCAGCAAACAATTGAAGGACAGTGTGAAGATTGAAAGGAAGCTTTACGTAATTGGGTGTGAGGTTGCAACTGGGACATTAAATTGCCAAACTTGTCCTAAACTCTGCTTCCACATGTATCATGATGTTTGAAAAGCTCTCCGAGTCTGGCGGACGTGCGTATCAAAGTCGAAGCAATAACGCAGGGAATGAAAGGGTGTGGGGTTGTTCTTTACTCTTCGCCATTATGAATATGAAGTTTGAACGAAGGGCAAATGTTTCGTGGTAATAATGAGATTAGAGATCTTGGTGTAATTCACTTTGACTTCATACAGGTGCTGCATGGCTGTCGTCAGCTTCCCAGTTGCTTCCAATCCATGGGACAAGGGATGGTATTATGCTCTGATAGTATGATTTAAAAAAAAAAAAATCTTCTTTCTTTCTTGAAAATGGCTTCGGCCTTGAGATATCGTCATTGACGGGCCCCAGGTAATCCAGTTCAGATTCAGAATGATTTTACTGTGGTCATCTGATTGAATCTGGATTCGAACTTGGGTCTGTATTTCAACAGTTCATGGGTTTAAACTTTGGTATGGTATTATGCTGTGTGTTTAAACTTTAACATGGAATTGATCACCTGACACAGGGACACACACGTACACACATGCAGACACACAGATCAGGCTCATGCATATTAGTTTGTATCTGATGTCAGAGGAATGCACACGCCGTGTGGAACAGGTTGATGAAACAGTCACAGACTGGCAGAAGCCTATCCAAACAACCCTGTCATCGAATGGCTGGCCTCAGGCCCCGAATTCCTGGCCCCGAACCATGACTCAAGAATAGCCCGTCTTGAAGTCCCCTCAGGCATCCCACCACAGTTCCCGGACATCTGGCTTTTCCAAAAATCGAACGGACAGAATCTGACGGTTTTTCTCTCCACCAAAGCCAACCCACGCTGCTTTAAATGCAGAGAAAAGGCCACCTGGGTACGGACAGGAACTGCCCACTTAACAGAGACAGGGCAGGGAAACCAGGCCAAATCCAAGCCAACCTGGTCGAATGTGAAACAAAGACAGGTGTGTGTTTTGTGAATGATCCTACCTACAGAGGGTGGGTTTTTGACGACAGATTGGACGGCCCAAAATGGGTTTGGACGCTTCTGAGTGAGCCAACAGTCCAACCTGACATATATCCACCGCACAGCAGTCAATGGCAAACAAAAGGGGCAATGAAAATTGAAGACAAGGAAGGGGGATTCTTGAAAAAGCAAATTTTGGACACACAGGGGATCATGGAAGACAAGCACAAAAAAGATACTGTGCAAGAATTGTTCAAAACAGGCAGCTCAGCAGACAAAGCCTATTTTGAAAATCTGCAGGCAAGGAACAAGATCCTCCAATCAACCAAAGAACAGAAACCCTCGCAGGACACCAATGATTCCCCAAACCCCCCAAGTGACAACGCAACAAATGGCTCACACAAAAAGCTCAAAAGGAAAGCCAACCAATCCACCCCAAACTCGCCTGCACACAGCACAGCGAAAGCCAAAAACAGCAGGTCTAAGGGGTCTCACTCAACAACAGATGATATGGAAGCTGATACAATCGAGAGCTTGGAGGGTCAGCCGGAGGGGGAGGGAAAGGAGTCAGCCAACAAAGGGAAAAAACGGCGAGGGACAGCGGAAGGTTGCAGCAAGGAAGGAGAAGAAACAATGGACGAAGGAGAGGGAACAGATAGCACAGAAGGAAGAAGCGAACAAGGTGATGAAGAAGGGGAGGAGGAAGAAGAAGATGAGAGAGACGACGACAAGATGTCACAAGATTCGGTAGGGAAAGAATCACACACAGAGGACCAAGACACAGTCGGGAGAACAGATGACGAGGATCAGAAAGCCTCTCTCATTTGGCTGATAGAATATGTCAAGAGACTGGAAAGGGAAAGGGAGGTTGAATTTGAAATTAGAATTGCCCACAAAAAGCACATATTCAATCTTCAGAACTTCAACCCGACACAGCAACACTAAACAACTTGTTCCCCACAGACAACCGATACGAAATCTTGGAGGAGGAACAAGATCTGTCAGAATTTTTCGCTGAAAGATACAGCGCCAAATTGGAAGAAGCAGCCAACCAAGGAAGCTACGTACCGAACAGCTACATCTAGCCCAGATCCTACAACAGCACAGACCCCCAAAAGCCGATCAAAAGGCTCAAAGGGGAAAGAGGGAAAGCACAATCGACCCCCACAGCGAGCCCCAAAGACAAGGACTCAGAGGAGAGTAGATGAGAAAGAAAATCTGGACAGACAAAAAGAATTCCTCAAGGCTCACATCACGGTGCTAAAGGATCAGAACAGAGAAACGGCAGATGTGGCAGTCAACCTGCAAAAGTTGGCCACAGGCCACAACGCAGAAACATTCACAGCAGCCAAGCTTGAGGCTAAAGGAGGGTGCAGGAAAAGGGCGATAATCCTTTACAGATGGAACACAAAACACGGGGATTGGGAAATAGCAATCAACAAATCATGGGCTCTCATTGCACTGGCCAAACCGAGCAAAAAAGCCCTGATAACCAACATCTCAGATGACGTTTATCGGAGCGCACACATTCTGGGATCATGGGAGGAATGGAGGAAAGAGTGGATTGACACAACAGGGGACCTGATGATCAGCGATCTCAAACCATGCATGGTCCGATACTCAATGGAGGCGGAGATCAGGGATTACCTCACATGGAAACCATGGAAGGTAGTCCAGGCGATCCCCTACGGCCTCTTGGGTGGAGAGATCCCAGCAGAACGAACAGCGGTGGCGGCATCACTGGTAGAGGGGCATGGACTCTTCACAGATGAAGAAGAACACATGCCTCAGGCATTGGACGCAAGTGCCCGAGAGGTCAGAATTCACAACTCTGAATCCTTTGGATCCACCCCGAACTAAGTCAACTTAACTAAGGGAGGCAGGACTGCCCCCACAGCAACTTTCCATGACATCAGCAAACCCCACAACTCAGATTGCACAACCAGGCCGAGTCCATCATTTCACCTTCAGACCAAGCGAACCTGAGTTAACAGAGATGTCATGGAATGTCAATGGGTTAGCAACAGTCCTATCCAACAGCGAAAAATGGGACAACATGACCAACTACCTCAACTGGTTCTCGAGGCACCCACCAGACATAGTATGCATACAGGAAACACACCTAACCAACTCAGCAGAACACCTAACAATAATTTCCAAAATACAGTCAAAACTGAGACACGATAAAACAAGCCAATGGGCACCATCCCCAAGAATCAGCTATGCAGGTACAGTCGTTCTCTGGAACGAAAATTCGAAAGCAGCCAACCAGATCAATATCATTAAGTGTCAAATAGATGCAGAAAACAGAAGATGGATAGA